TTTCAGTCTACAAGATTATTTTCAGATGAAGTGACAAATGAGGCTCTGCAAATTCAGCTGTCTGCAGTTTAACTGGTTGATGCAGTGTCCAGCTCACATAAATTCAAGATCTCTTAGACATCATTTGCCACAATATTTTGCTTTATATGACAGTTATTAGGCACTGTTTCACAAAATACACAGATGATACAAATAAACTCAATTTAAGTAGTGTGGCTTCAATTTGTAATTTATCTAGATATAGCTGAGGAAAGAACTAAATGAGCTTAATATTGCGGGGGCTTTATTATTTAACCTCCAATCATCCAGGTAGCTGTCAATTTAAAAATATTTACTGGGGAAATATCCAGTCCTTAGGAGGACCAGCAGACAATAAACCCCCAATAAATATACTTAAGTATGTCCTGCATTTTGGACATTCAGTGATGCCATCATAAAACAAGTACCCTGTTTTATGAAGATGATCAGGTTATTTTGAAGCCCTCCCAAACAAGGTCCCGTCCACTTAATTACTTGCCCAAATTTATAGCGACAGGATTTTCTGAAGCTACTTTTTTTTCTAGTGGCTGAATAGGGAACTTCTGTACTTTAAGAAACCTGCTCCATTAAAAGTTTAGCTTGTAGTGGTAAAATAAACATTTCTTATTTTTTATTTCCTAAAGGATAGTTAAAGTATCTTGCAAAAACACAGCCACCAATCTAATTGTTGTGTGTGTGTGCGCCTCTGAATGAAATTAGGTACAGAACTTTCTTTGCTGCTTTGTAAGTTCTCAAATAAAGCCAGGACTCTGTTTTTGTATCACAGAGGGAAATGACTTCATGCTTTTACTCTAGCTCTGAAAAGCTGATACTTAAAATGATTATCTGTTGCATATCTGTTCTCTAAGTGATCACTCTTATTCATTAAACCAAATGCAATTATCTAAGTGTAATTCAGTGTATTCAGTTGAAATAAACATCACTAGAAGGCATCAAAACTGCAAAGAAAAGCATTTAAATGATAGCTCCCCTACCAACTGAGGATTTCACAGCAGGTAAGCTTTTATCTTAATGTTTTAGTGCAATTGTGAATGTGTTTAGTATATTTACTTGTTTTTCTGAAGTGTGTCTTCAAGATAGACAACTGGGAAATATGTTTGTGTCCTTTCAGAAAAATAAGACTTTGTAGGAATTTACTGGTTAAATACAAAAATAAATAAATAAATAAAAGCAGCCAGATGGTGTGTTAGAGATGTATGTTCTGTGTACCCACTCATGTTACATAAACTAACCTTGTTCAGTAAATGCATTTTCCATTCATTTTGCATTTCTTTAACAGTTTTTAGCTATAATTGTCATGTCATGCCAACTAAATCCTCAATAGAATATCCCGACTACTTGTTATAGTACAAAGTCCTATAAAATGCAACAATTCTGAAAATGATTTATATTTGTTCATAGTAAGTATAATGTTATTGTTAAAGTTGCAAATAACGATGCCTGAAAATAGCAAGCTGTACTGTTTTACAAAACTATTTTATTCATAGTCTTCTATGATGTTGTTAATAGTTTCTGTAACTACAGTAAAGCCTACAATATCAAAGCAAAAATAAGGAACATATATTTCTTCCAAAGAACCAACAACACTTTTTTTTTTTTAAGACTACAGAGTAAATTTTCATTTTCTATTTGTTTAACAGGCCAAGATCCATGCAAAAGCAATCCTTGCCTTAATGGTGGTATCTGTTATCTGCATGGTTCATTTTACATCTGTACATGTTTGCCGGGCTTCAGTGGGGAGCAGTGTGAATTAGGTAAGGTGATACCATCTACACCCTAATTAGAATATACATTAGAATATAAAGTCTTTGTATGTCTGATTTGGACAGGAAATGGTGCATTTTAAAGTTGATAAACACCTAGGCAATGGAAAAATTCTACCATCAAGTCTTAAGAAGAAAATAATAAAATTGAGGAAGTCCACTTACCGCTTTCCCTTATAAGTTATGCATGTACACATACACACACAAACCTAAAGGAAGTATTAACTAAGCAGAATGATCTAGAATTCATGAAAATAAATTCATAACAGCATTAAATAAAACAAAATAAACATTATTATTTGGAATAAGTCCTTAAAAACTTTGTGTAATAATTTGACGGGGCAGTAAATTTCCCTAATCCCAAACATAATTAGGAAACAGAGCCCTGAATAGCAGCTGATATTTTTTTCAGGCAAACTATAATCATACTCAGATATGAAGATTTTTTTTTCTGTGCTATTGTTACACACCATGGAGTCAAATACAGAGTCAGATTCTCCACAGATTAGGGGAAATACTGCATTCTGCGCAGTTTGCCTTCTTTCTCAGTACCAATGAGATGAAGATCTAGGTTTTAGAAATTAACTCAGAAGTCATGCTGCAAGGTAGAAGAGTCTATATGTATAAAATTGTGATTCATTAATATCCCTTTCCCAAGGGAACTGCTGTTTTGTTTGTGGGTGAGGAGAGTGGAAGGTTGTGTATAGTGAAATCAAAATTATGCAAAGAAGAAAACCGCCCTGTTAGATCTTTTGCAATACTATTGTGCCTAGTAGTAATTATGACTAAAGATGAGGAACATTTCCCTTCTAGTAGATAGGTGGATTATAAAAACTCTTCTATATTTATTTTGTAGATATTGATGAATGCCAGTCTAACTCATGTCAGAATGGAGCGACGTGTATAGATGGCCTCAATACATTTACTTGTGTCTGTCTGCCAAGCTACGTAGGTGCTCTCTGTGAACAAGGTAAGGCATATTTTTTAATCTGTGGCGATCTAGATCTCAGGTATGCTGTCATCAAAGACGCAAAACTCCATAAATTTTCCAGGAGCTCTAATATGAGTTTTTACTCATATTAGCACTAAAAGCACTAGCACTAACCTGGCATAGTATTAGCAGTTTTAAAGTATTTAAGGGGATATAGGCTGTTGGTGCCTTCTGCCTCACCAAGCTGTAAACAGTGTGAAAAACCCATCACTTCTTAGAACAGGCACCACTTGAAAGCAGGAATATTCTGCTGAATATACCTGATCACACATCCACTCACCAGGGGCCATAACCTTGACATCTGCATCCCAGACTCTTCCAGAGTGACTCGTTCAGTGATTATTTTGGGAAAAATAGGTGCAGAAGCACAATTGCAAGGAAGCTGTAAGAGACATTCTAAACTGGATGGTTAAGAGTAGAGTAAGTATCTGAGTCCCCATAATTGTTAGAACATTACCTGCATAAAATCCCCCTATATTTAAGAGAAATGTTTACAGTGCAAGATGCTTAATGTGTGCATGTCTGAGAGGAAGAAGGGTAGCAAAATCTGGTCGGTCAGTAAAACTAAGGAAGGAATTTCCATAAGAAAAAAGAAATTGTGCCTTAGTGTACTTTTTAAAGCCTGTAAAATATTTTTCTCTTTTTCTTCAACTGAATGGTTTTGTTCACTGGCCAGTGAACTAGAAATTCTGATATTGTTTTATTAACAGTGAATATTTCAAGGCTTGTGTCTCATCTTCAGCTGAATGAGTGAAAGGCAGTTTGCAAACTCTTCCAGGTCAACCTGTAGAGATTGGTTTGTTAGAGCAGAGACCTCAGGAAGCTGACTAGCTCCAGCAGTTGTCACTTGTCACTGTTTAACTCTGTTAATAATCTGGCTCACCTTACAGTTTGAAAGGCCTTTCTGAATCTGTTCTCCAGAATTACAAGTTGAACATGTTTTTACAACAGAAAAAAAAAAGTGTTCTTGTTCCCTTCCTCCTTCCCTTTATTTCAACAAATCCATAGTAGTGAATGGCTCTGAGCACCGTGGTAGCTTTAAGCTGTCTTTTATGATCAACCTGAGAGTGCATTTTAGGTGGTTAATGGGAATGTTTCCTAGTTTGTCAATCAGAAACAGAGCTCTGCTCACTCAACTTTGGAATTTAAATTTCCTCCACTTAATGTCTTGCAGTGGTTTGGGACCTGGGAAAAGTGTTCAGTGCCAAATTTCCATTCCACCAGACAAAATAAAACTGTGTTGGCAATTCAGACACACTTGTCTGGCAAGCAGACTTTATTTCAAGGCATCAGTCCTGACCTCACTAGATTTAAAGACCAGCCAGAATGACAGAACGTGTACCTCAGTGACACAGGAAAGGTGGAGCTGAGCACACTAAGATTATGTTTCATTAATACTTCTTTTTTTTCCCCTCCCGTATAATTTATTTATTTTAGAGATTTAAAAAAAAAAATCCAGATCTC